TGAAAGTCGTTAGCCACGACTTACAAAATGATCGTCCAGACTTTGAGGGTTTGGCAGATCCGCTCAACTGATCTGCATCGGTCGACTGGCTGTCGTCACGCTTTCGCTTCTTGTCTGAGGTTACGTATCGTAGCATTGTGAGGATAATGAGGTACATCGATGATGCAAGGTATTAATGTACAGTTGTAAACACCTTTCACTCAAATTAACAAGATGTTCTCAGTAATTAATCCTCGATTAATCAGTGTCAACTCAGTTTATTGCCTATTACAGTGATTGACCGATTGGACTATCATGTAGGTACGATGTATTTACAGCAATCAAAACAAACAAAGCTTGTCAGTGTAGTTAATCTTCATTGTGTTGCAACTGCAGACAGAAACTGCTCAGTCCTAACTGTTGATCATGTCCGGTCAAAATTTAAGAATGTCCGGACAATACTTTTTAAAATGTCCGGTAAGCAATATTTTAAAACGGACATTTGAGATTCCCAATCGGACATGTCCGGCACATATGACGGTTTCCGGACCCCTGGTCAGAAGGCAAAATGTCTCATATTGTTCATCAAGGAACATACATGTCCGCTTATTTCGAAACCTGTTGAATTCAATTATAAAATATCAGTTTAAACTTTATGTTGTTATCCAGCAAAGTTTGGAGGCTCTTTTAATAATAATTTTCTACATATTAATTTAGGCCAAACCTGCACCTGTTGAATGTCTTCACTTGAATGCATACTTGATACATGTCCGCATTGATAGGCGTGTAACAAGCCAAAGTGTCCTAAGTTGTCCATGGAACAAACATAAACTCTACATTTTGTAGGAAATCCGTTGAATTCAGTCATTAAAATTATGATAAACAAGATGAGTCCATTTACACAGTTTTATCATCCCAAACTGGCTCCCACAGGAGATATGGCTTGGATTAGATCAAGCGATATCTACACTGTAGATATCGCTGCAATGAAATTACATCACAATGCTTTGCAGACCATTGTGACGTCACTGGTTACCATGACGTCACAATCAAATGACATCACTAATGGCTCTGCTACTGAAGCTGTTAGCAGTACTTTTTACACTGGGGACACTGCTAATTGCTGTCTACAATTTGAAAAAGTTGGAAGAATGATGTTGGATGATAAATAAAATCTCACCCTCGTGTCTTTTGATATCAAATATATCAACACTTGTTGATAAAAGTGGAAAAAATCCTCTGCAAGCCTCGGATTTTTTCCACTTTTATCAACTCGTGTTGATATATTTGATATCAAAAGACACTCGGGTGAGATTCTCTATATCTAATTATTTTCTATGTAGTAATTAAGACAAACCTGGACACTTGAATGCAGTGTGTATGTATGTATGATACATTTAGTGTTCCCCCTAGGATTTATAAAGGGCGGGGTAACTTCATGCAAAAAGGGCACTTGATAAACTAAAATGGGCATGTTGGCGAGGATTACCCCGGTAATGATAAAATAACAAAATTAATAAAATCCAAGGTTGATAATTATATTCTTAAGTTTCATTAATAAACTACTCTCATTTTAATTCAAGAATCAATATTAAAAAAATGCATTAAGATCTTAATTTATCATCATGATTCATATCATAATATCGTCCTTGTTCATATTTTTCACCTGAAATATATATCATACACGAGGACAGAATCCATTGCTGTAATTTGATTGGCTGCTTTAGGTCATGTGCTTGATTTTGACCAATTTCGATCCTTATATTAGATTATTACAAAAGCGTCATTAGAAACCAATATCTATCCAATAAAATCGCATGTAACAATGATGAAAATACTCCTGGCGAGGTTACTGTAATATTATTGATGTTCGGAGCTTTCTAAAGATACCAAACATCAAATGAATCTTTGCATGTGTTATATACTTCCTTACTTCCAGAAGTGAACTCCATGGCCTTCAACAGCTTCCATACTTCCAGAAGTGAACTCTATGACCTGCAACAGCTTCCATACTTCCAGAAGTGAACTCTATGACCTTCAACAGCTTCCATACTTCCAGAAGTGAACTCTATGACCTTCAACAGCTTCCATACTTCCAGAAGTGAACTCTGTGGCCTTCAACAGCTTCCATACTTCCAGAAGTGAACTCTATGACCTGCAACAGCTTCCATACTTCCAGAAGTGAACTCTATGACCTTCAACATCTTCCATACTACCAGAAGTGAACTCTATGACCTTCACCTTCACCTTCAACAGCTTCCATACTACCAGAAGTGAACTCTATGACCTTCAACAGCTTCCATACTTCCAGAAGTGAACTCTATGACCTTCAACAGCTTCCATACTACCAGAAGTGAACTCTATGACCTTCAACAGCTTCCATACTTCCAGAAGTGAACTCTATGACCTTCAACAGCTTCCATACTTCCAGAAGTCATCTCTATGGCCTTCACCTTCACCTTCACCTTCAACATCTTGCATACTACCAGAAGTGAACACTATAGCCTTCACCTTCACACTCAAACCATGAGCAATTGTAATGTCTCTTAATGACAGCTTAATGTAAGCAATCTTCAACCACAACATGTGTTTCTGATTATCCACGGTGAACAAACGTGACATTAAACATGAATACTGGCAAAAACATGAGAGTATGACAGTAGAGGTCTGCGTGATACTGACTCTGTACAGTACAAAACATGAGAGTATGACAGTAGAGGTCTGCGTGATACTGACTCTGTACAGTACAAAACATGCATTGTTATTGCTGAACTGTGGTAGGGTAAGAGGATGAACACCAGTGCTCTATATACGAACAGTTTTATACAGATGTTCAACATGTTGTTGAATCTATGAGTGAAGAGTTGATTAACTCTACTGTAGATGACAATGGGTTAGATAGTAGAATAACATTAGATGAAATAGTTAAGGCTGTTAATGATATGCCAAATAGAAGACCCAGGGTTTAGTGGTGTACCACTGAATTTTTTAAATATGCCCCTCCCATCAGTTTTGAAATGCTGTTATCCTTGTTTAATAAAATCTTATTGACTGGTACTTATCCAGAGGAGTGGATTTTAGGTGTCATCCTTCCTTTGCATAAAATGGGTAATGTAAATGACCCTAGTAATTACAGACCTATTATTTTTTAGAAATATCTGGTAAAATCTTTTCTAAAATTATATGTACTAGACTCACCAACTGGGCAACTGATGGAAATGTTATTATCCCTGAACAAGCAGGTTTTAGAAAGGGGTTTCAAACTGTGAATAATATATTTATACTTCAAACTATTATTGATAAATATCTAAGATTATGTAAAGGTAGACTATGCTGTGCCTTTATTGATTTAAAAGCAGCCTTTGACTCTGTGTCACATAGTGCTCTGATGTACAAACTTTGGACTGGTAATATTAAAGGTTCTGTTTTTAGATTACTTAGAAATATATTTGAAAATGTGAAATCATGCATATCTCTGAATTCTGGTGTTACTAAATTCTTTGACTGTTCATTTGGAGTTAGACAGGGTTGCCAGTTGTCACCATTTTTATTTTCATTCTTTATTAATGACATTGTAGATTTTTTGAAACAAGATAAGCAATGGTGTATTAGTATAGGTACTCTACAGTTATTTATGCTGCTTTTTGCAGATGACATTGTGGTAATAGGTAGTACAGTTATTGGTCTTCAAAAGAGATTTAATAAACTTTCCCAATATTGTGATAAATGGCAGCTGCAAATAAATAACATCAAGTGCAAGGTTATTGTCCTTCACAAAGGCGGTCGTTTAAAGAAATATGAATTTTTTCTCTAAAAACATGTCCGCTTGAAATTGTTTCAGTGTATAAATATTTAGGTGTACATTTTTCAAGCTCTGGTTCATGGTTTAATACATTGTATCCATATTGTATAATGGGCCAGTGGCCTCTTTACTGAAAATAAACTCACTCACTCACTATACACAACAAAACAACAGCAACTAATTGGAACAAGATATTTTGTAATAATAATAATAATAATCATAATAACAATAATTTGACATTCATGTACTGCCGTATCACTTGTAGATAACTAGTTGTCCTTTCTTGCCATTTATGAGTGAGTGAGATGGGTTTAACGCCATTTTTAACATTATTCCAGTTATTTCAAGGCGTGTCAGCTTAATGTGGGAGGAAAGCCCCAAGTGATGCAGGTCTCGGGCGTTTACCACTTCGGTGAAACCCATGCACATGGGTATGGTGCTGACAAACCTAGAAACATAATCGCGGTGAACCGGGATTCGAACCCACAATCATAGGTGTCTGGCGTGCCATGGGACGCAACTCTGCACAGCAAATCACAGCGCCTTTGACGACTTGACGAATCATTCGTTAATAATTCAACGCCACACAAATAACTGGCAACATATCAGGTACTTTCCAGATGAGCAGGATCTTATGTTTTCAATAAACTATAAAAAGAGGCACTTCGAAGTTTAAATTTCCAAAAAGTACACACAATATGTAATTGCCTATTATAATCAAATGGTACCAACAGATAAAAACAATTATTGACGATGAAGACCTGTTTAGACTTTTGCCTTGAGTGTGAGCAAAGTTTTATCAAGAGTGAGAAAGTGGGTGAGTTGTGTTTAATGCCACTTTGAACAGTATTCCAGTTATGATGTGGGAGGAAAGCCCGAAATGATGCAGCGGGTCTTAGATGTTTCCCGCTTTGGTGAAACCCATGATCAAGGGTATGGTGCAGATAAACCTAGAAACCATAATATCCGCGAACTGGGATTCAAACCCACGATTGTAGGTTTCTGTCATGCCCAAGGGTGTGTGAGTGAGTGAGTTGTGTTAAACACCACTTTGAACTTTATTTCAGATTAACACAGCGTGTCAGCTTCATGTTGGAGGAAATCCCGAAGTGATGCAGGTCTCAGATGTTTACCACTTCGTTGAAACCCAGGAGCACGGGTATGGTGCTGACAAACCTAGAAACATAATCGGGGCGAACTGGGATTTGAACCCACAATCATAGGTTTCTGGCGTGTCCAAGGGATGCAATTCTGCACAGCGAATTGTGGTGTCTTAGACGACTGGGCCACCCCTGCCCCCACGAAAACAATGAACAATATCTTAAAATATAACTGAGGGTGCCAAAGAGAATCGGTACACCCCTCTGGGCCGTGGGTGAGAGGTTTGCTTGGTTTGAGCGTCAACCCCTCCTGCCCAACAACTTTAGTTACTCACATAAATTGGGAACTTAACGTGCGCTTTCCGACATGTGTTATTCGCGCATGGGCCCGCCATGCCATTGAGTGATTGGTCGAAAAGGGTATGTCCGAAAAGGTGAGGTAACCTAGGGGGGCTTTTAGGGTTGCTTACTTAATTTTGGGGAACAAACCGGCTTCGAACCCACAATCATAGGTTTCTGGCATGCCTAAGGAGCGCAACTGCACAGCGAATTGTGGCGCCTGACGACTGGCCCCCCTGTACCCTATTTTTCTATTCACCTCCCCCAGACTGCTAGATTGCCTTATAGTTATCACCAATTCATCTTGCGAAGCTTGAGATATTACATACCAATCATGGTTTCCAGTTTTGACCAAAAAAACCATTATGTGTTTTAACAGACCAACTTGGATTTTATGTGCTCACCTTCAGTATTGTCAGCACCACAACCTTATTAAAGCAGGTCCAAAACCACTTCCTCCTCACATTGTCCCCAACACCCAAACCATGACAGTGACGGTTGTTTTATGTTCTGCCACATCTTATGGCACGGACTATTTTGACACTTTATACAGAAAATCTTATTCTGTAATCAATATACTGACCCTTTTTGACATTTTTGTAAAAATTTCTCCATGGTATTTAAAAAAATAATCATGAAAATAATATTTGATATTTTCACTGATTAAATTCCAACTTCAGTCCATCTCTTCGTATCGGGGCCGCTTCAAGGCCGGATCATCACTGTCATCATCCTCGTCGGACAGTTCGTGGGTCTCTGATAACACTTGTAAAGGCACATCCAATGGAGGGGCACTTGTGAAGTTGTCTCCCCCATGGGTGAGTCCCACACTGACAGCGCCAGTCTCTATATCTCGTAACGCCTTGTCAAAGGCCTGTATCACTTGTCTGGCATTGTCACATGTGAAACACATCGGCGGCATCAACACCATCACATTCTGGTCCTCACCGTCGTTTGCCATCAGAATCCTCTGTTCTTTCATCCTGGGTAACAGAAGCATCAATATTCAGGTAAACAGAGATCGGATTCAAATACATGGATACAAATTCAACTTACTGGAAAACTGTCCCCAGTTAGTGGCATGTGAGAATCTTGTCAACTGGCCCCACTTACTGGTATGTGTGAATCTTGATAACTGGCCTCACTTACTGGTATGTGATGAATTTTGACAACTGGCCCAGCATATCTGTTTGTGTCTTGATAACTGGCCCCACTTACTGGTATGTGAGAATCTCGATAACCGGCCCCACTTACTGGTATGTAAGAATCTTGATAACCGGCCCCACTTACTGGTATGTAAGAATCTTGATAACCGGCCCACTTACTGGTTTGTAAGAATCTCGATATCCGGCCCCACTTACTGGTCTGGTGGAATCTTGATAACCGGCCGCACTTACTGGTATGTAAGAATCTTGATAACCGGCCCCACTTACTGGTATGTAAGAATCCCGATAACCTGCCCCACTTACTGGTCTGGTGGAATCTTGATAACTGGCACCACTTACTGGTATGTGAGAATCTCGATAACTGGCCCCACTTACTGGTATGTAAGAATCTTGATAACCAGCCCCACTTACTGGTCTGGTGGAATTGCGATAACTGGCCCCGCTTACTGGTATGTGAGAATCTCGATAACCGGCCCCACTTATGGTATGTAAGAATCTTGATAACCGGCCCCACTTACTGGTATGTGAGAATCTCAATAACCGGCCCCACTTAGTGGTATGTGAGAATCTCGATAACTGGCCCCACTTACTGGTATGTGAGAATCACAATAACCGGCCCCACTTACTGGTATGTAAGAATCTCGATAACCGGCCCCACTTACTGGTCTGGTGGAATCTTGATAACCGGCCCCACTTACTGGTCTGGTGGAATCTCGATAACTCGCCCCACTTACTGGTGTGTGAGAATCTTGATAACTCGCCCCACTTACTGGTCTGGTGTAATCTCGGTAAGTCGCCCCACTTACGGGTATGTGAGAATCTCGATAACTGGCCCCACTTACTGGTATGTGAGAATCTCGATAACTGGCACTACTTACTGGTATGTGAGAATCTCGATAACCAGCCCCACTTACTGGTATGTGAGAATCTCAATAACTGGCCCTACTTACTGGTGTGTGAGAATCTCAATAACCGGCCCCACTTACTGGTGTGTGAGAATCTCGATAACCGGCCCCACTTACTGGTAAGTAAGAATCTCGATAACCGGCCCCACTTACTGGTGTGTGAGAATCTCGATAACTGGCCCCACTTACTGGTATGTGAGAATTGCGATAAGTGGCCCTGCTTACTGGTATGTGAGAATCTCGTAACCGGCCCCACTTACAGGTGTGTGAGAATCTCGATAACTGGCCCCACTTAGTTGTATGTGAGAATCTCGATAACTGGCCCCACTTACTGGTTTGTGAGAATCTCGATAACTGGCCCCACTTACTGGTATGTGAGAATCTCGATAACTGGCCCCACTTACTGGTATGTGAGAATCTCGATAACTGGCCCCACTTACTGGTGTGTGAGAATCTCGATAACTGGCCCCACTTACTGGTTTGTGAGAATTGCGATAAGTGGCCCTGCTTACTGGTATGTGAGAATCTCGTAACCGGCCCCACTTACAGGTGTGTGAGAATCTCGATAACTGGCCCCACTTAGTTGTATGTGAGAATCTCGATAACTGGCCCCACTTACTGGTTTGTGAGAATCTCGATAACTGGCCCCACTTACTGGTATGTGAGAATCTGGATAACTGGCCCCACTTACTGGTATGTGAGAATCTCGACAACTGGCCCCACTTACTTGTATATGAGAATCTCGATAACTGGCCCTACTTACTTGTTTTTGAGATTCTCGATAACTGGCCCCACTTACTGGTATGTGAGAATCTCAATAACTGGCCCCACTTAGTTGTATGTGAGAATCGCGATAACCGGCCCCACTTACTGGTTTGTGAGAATCTCGATAACTGGCCCCACTTACTGGTTTGTGAGAATCTCGATAACCGGCCCCACTTACTGGTTTGTGAGAATCTCGATAACTGGCCCCACTTACTGGTTTGTGAGAATCTCGATAACCGGCCCCACTTAGTTGTATGTGAGAATCGCAATAACTGGCCCCACTTACTGGTATGTGAGAATCTCGATAACTGGCCCCACTTACTGGTTTGTGAGAATCTCGATAACTGGCCCCACTTACTGGTTTGTGAGAATCTCGATAACCGCCCCCACTTACTGGTATGTGAGAATCTCGATAACCGGCCCCACTTACTGGTTTGTGAGAATCTCGATAACTGGCCCCACTTACTGGTTTGTGAGAATCTCGATAACTGGCCCCACTTACTGGTTTGTGAGAATCTCGATAACTGGCCCCACTTACTGGTTTGTGAGAATCTCGATAACCGGCCCCACTTACTGGTATGCAAGAATCTCTGCTGCCTCCTTGGCCGGCTTCCTGCTCTCCTTGTCCATGACGATCTCCACACCAACCAGCATCCCCATCCCCCTGTGCAACAAACACACAGTAAAGTTATCAAACCCTGTACGCTAATCACAAACCCTGTACGCTTATCACCTAGAATAGGTCTTCAACAACCCATGTTTACTGTAAGAGGTGACGATGCTTGTCGTAAGAGGTTATTTACGGGACCAGGTGGTCAGGCTCGCTGACTTGGTTGATGCATGTCATTGTATCCCAATTGCTTGGATCGATGTATATGTTATCAATCATTGTCTGGTCCAGACTCAATCATTTACAGACTGCCGTCATAAAGCTGGAATATTGCTGAGTGTAGCGTTAAACAAAAAACAAACAAAATAAAACACTAATCATCAAAACATTCTACATTAATAACTAACCCTGTACCCTAATCACTAACACCTGTACAGTAATCACTTACACCCTGTACACTAATCACTAACTTATACATTAATCACTAACCCTGTACACTAATCATTAACACCAGTACACTAATCACTAACACCTGTACACTTATCACAAACCCTGTACACTAATCACTAACTCTGTACACTAATCATTAACCCTGTACACTAATCACTAACCCTGTACACTAATCACTAACCCTGTACACTAATCACTAACCCTGTACTGTAATCACTAACACCTGTACACTTATCACTAACCCTGTACACTAATCACTAACCCTCTACACTAATCACTAACCCTGTACACTAATCACTTACACCCTGTACACTAATCACTAACACCTGTACACTTATCACAAACCCTGTACAGTAATCACTAACACCTGAACAGTAATCAATTACACCCGGTACACTAATCACTAACACCCTGTACACTAACCACTAACCCTGTACACTAATCACTAACCCTGTACACTAATCACTAACACATGTACAGTAATCACTTACACCCTGTACACTAATCACTTACACCTGTACACTTATCACAAACCCTGTACACTAATCACAAACCCTGTACACTAATCACTAACACCTGTACACTAATCACTAACCCTGTACACTAATCACTAACCCTGTACACTAATCCTGTACACTAATCACTACCACCTGTACAGTAATCACTTACATCCTGTACACTTATCACTAACCCTGCACACTAATCACTAACCATGTACACTGATCACTAACCCTGTACACTAATCACTAACCCTCTACACTAATCACTAACCCTGTACACTAATCACTTACACCCTGTACACTAATCACTAACACCTGTACACTTATCACAAACCCTGTACAGTAATCACTAACACCTGAACAGTAATCAATTACACCCGGTACACTAATCACTAACACCCTGTACACTAACCACTAACCCTGTACACTAATCACTAACCCTGTACACTAATCACTAACACATGTACAGTAATCACTTACACCCTGTACACTTATCACTTACACCTGTACACTTATCACAAACCCTGTACACTAATCACAAACCCTGTACACTAATCACTAACACCTGTACAATAATCACCAACCCTGTACACTAATCACTAACCCTGTACACTAATCCTGTACACTAATCACTACCACCTGTACAGTAATCACTTACATCCTGTACACTTATCACTAACCCTGCACACTAATCACTAACCATGTACACTGATCACTAACCCTGTACACTAATCACTAACCATGTACACTAATCACTTACACCCTGTATACTAATCCTGTACACTAATCACTTACCCTGTACACTAATCACTAACCCTGTACACTAATCAGTTACCCTGTACACTAATCACTAACCCTGTACACTAATCACAAACCCTGTACACTAATCACTAACCCTGTACACTAATCACTAACCCTGTACACTAATCACTAACCCTGTACACTAATCACGAACCCTGTACACTAATCACTAACACCTGTACTGTAATCAATTACACCTGTACAGTAATCACTTACACCCTGTACACTAATCACTAACACCTGTACTGTAATCAATTACACCTGTACAGTAATCACTTACACCCTGTACACTAATCACTAACACCTGTACAGTAATCACTTACCCCTGTACAGTAATCACTTACGCCCTGTACACTAATCTCTACCCCTGTACACTAATCACTAACCCTGTACACTATTCACAAACCCTGTACACTAATCACTAACATCTGTACACTAATCACTAACACCTTTACAGTAATAACCAAGTACAGAAAACACAAACACCTATTAAAGAGTATTTGGTCAGTGAGATGAAAGTCTGACTTTTCCCTTACTCAAATTCTCCACTGTATCTCAAAGGTGATATTTCTTTGAATCAGTTAACCACACTGTTGTTAAGGTACTTGGCCGGCTATGGTTTGCGGATTTGATCATTCATACTTTATGTCAACCATGTCCCTCAACCTCCTGAAGACACTAGGCTAGGCCACAACAAGCGATATTTGCAATGACACCTAGTTAAGTGTTGGTTTAATCAAGGCTGAATACATTGCAAGCATTGACATAACATGATGCCAGCTTGAGACCTGTCAGTTTATATTTAACATGAGCTGTACAAGCAAGTGGTTCCAACATTTACCTGACACAGCCCATCATAGGGTGATTCGGCAGGATGGCTGAGAACCCTTCCAGCAGGCACTTCCCCACTGACTGTGCACTGGAGATCAGTTTCTCATTCTGTATGACATCTAGGACGGCCATCCCAGTGGCACAAGCAACAGGATTACCACCAAACTGTAAAACAGACAGAGTTACCCCAATACTGTCAACATAAACACACTGTTACCTCGGAACTGTCAACATAAACACACTGTTACCACAAACTGTCAATATAAACACACTGTTACCCCCAAACTGTCAACATAAACACACTGTTACCTCGAAACTGTCAACATAAACAGACTTTTACCCCAAACTGTCAACATAAACAGACAGGGTTACCCAAATACTGTCAACATAAACAGACAGGGTTACCCCCGAACTGTCAACATAAACAGACAAGATTACCCCCAAACTGTCAACATAAACAGACAGGACTTCCAGTTCCTGCTCAATCTCATTAAAATCAGATCTTAGTTCTCGCTACCGCTAAACAAAGATCTGAGGACATCCCATTACGGGTCACGTCAGACCGACCTTGCGCGAGCTTTGACCGACCAATGGAATGACCAATCAGAAGGCAGCTTTCTCGTGCTTTACAGCACTAATTTCAAATTGGCCACTACGCTTCAAAACATATTTTGCCAAATTCTCGATTACAAATTTGAAACCTGAACAAAAGAACATTCTGGAATGGCTAATAGATGGTCTAGATTGTATGGATACAGTCGTTAAACCCGTAACTATCGTTCGGAGTTAAAGTTTTCGAGGCTGCAGCATCAGAAATCACATTCCGACTGTCACTTTCATAATCTGGTAAGCGATGCTCTGATTGGTCGGATGAAAGGTCGTTATGACGTGACCCCTAATGGGATGTCCTCAGATCTTTGTTTAGCGGTAGCGAGAACTGAGGTCTGATTTTAATGAGATTGGTTCCCGCTTCGAATATGGCACCTGGACTCCTATAATATCTCGGTAATGTTGAAACACACATGTACATGCTACCCTCCTTCCCAACCCCCCACCCTCCTCCCCCCTAAACCCTCACACACAAGCCCTACCCCTTGAACTAAAACATTGCGTCACATGAGTACACCACTCATCCAAGCAACACTTACTGTGGAACTGAATTCTCCAAGACTGTCGGCAATTTCTTTAGAGGTGACGACGACTGACATTGGGTGGCCATTACCCACAGGCTTGCCGATCGTTACAATGTCAGGAACTACATCTGAGGATCAGAAGAAAACAAAATGCAACATTTACCAGTGCAACTTTCAGCTGTTCTCTGGGTTAGGATTGTCCACAGCAACCTGTGCTGGGGCCCGTTCCACAAAGTGATCTTAGTCCTAAGTAGGTCCCAACTCCCCTACTTTATCATACGCTTAGGATAAACGTAGCCCTAAGATCGCTTTGTGGAACGGGGCCCTGGTCATAATAGGTGACTCATTAAATCAGATGTTCAGACTCAGCGTTTGTTTGTTGTATAACGCCGAACTCAGCAATATTCCAGATATATGACGGCAGTCTGTACATAATTGAGTATGGACCAAACAATCCAGTGATTGACATCATGAGCAGCGATCCATGCAATTGGGATACAATGACATGCATCGACCAAGACAGTGAGCCTGACCACCCAATCCTGTTAGTCGCCTCTTACGGCAGGCATGGGTTGCTGAAGACCTATTCTACCCCGGATCTTCACTGGTCCCTCAGACTCGGTGACTTAATTGACAGTGTGCCATCATATACTGGGTTGTTGCTCATAATATCACTGGATTGTCTGGTACCGACTCAATTACATACAGTTGAAATATTGCTGAGTGTGGCGTTAGACAATGAACACAACGAACATCCCAGTCATACACAATCAGAATGAGTTGGGTTTAACAAAGCTTGGAACAGTATCCCAGTTACAGTGTGTCAGCTTGATGTGGGAAGAGAGCCCCAAGTGATGCACGTTCATGAAGCACACAAGCACGGTATGGTGCTGACAAACCTAGAAACATAATCGGGGCAAACCAGGATTCGAACCCACAATCATAGGTTTGTTCTGGTGTGTTCAAGGGAAGCAACACTGTACAGCGAATTGCATAGCTTTAAATAACTGAGCCAGACATATCCCCATACCAAAATAAATGTGAATAGAGTGAGTGAGTGAGTTGGGTTTAACACCACTTTTAACAGTATTCCATTTATATTGCGGCGTGTCAGCTTAATGTGGGAGGAAAGCCTGAAGTGATGCAGGTCTCAGTCGTTTAACACTTCGGTGAAACCCACGAGCACGGGTATGGTGCTGACAAACCTAGAAACATAATCGGGGCGAACCGGGATTCGAACCCACAATCATAGGTTTCTGGTGTGCCCAAGGGACGCAACTCTGCACAGCGAATCGTGGTGCCTTTGACGACTGGGCCACACATGCCCCCAAATGTGACTAGAAGTGAGTATATACTGTAGTATTGTCAGGCAACCACTGACACACCGACCAAACTATCTTGCTAGAAGGATGATGAGGGAAACTAACTGAAGTTGTCAAATCTTAATCAAATTAAACTGTTTTGTTTATAACATATTCATGTATGAGTACTACCATGCTTAATCATCTAACAACTTGGCGAAGGTAATTGTTTTACTAAGGTGTTTTGTCGCGGCAGTCTTGAATCTGAGCTCCAGAACAGGTGAGGCTGAACAAATATGTCCTTCATTGGACAAGAGTTCACCAAGCAGGACGCAGTAGGTGGTGACAGGATCACATCTGTGTCAACCAAAAGACAGAAAAATCTGCAGCTCTGATGCATCACTTGACAGCCTGCCATGCTGCAGCTTGGATGTTGCAGACTGCAGATTTAAATAATATTCACGCTCTAGACTCCTTGCACACAAACTGCCCAGCAGCCGGGGCTTATCCTGGATTTCAAACTAAGTATCCTTGCAGTCAAACTGGGAAAAATTATCATTTTGCTTCTTTGCATCTCCACTGAAACATTGCATTTAATGTAATGACATAGCTTAATGAGCAAATACCAGTACTGGTCCTGTTATCAGTAAAAGAAAAGTGACCTCTGTAAAGTGATAACACTAGTGGAATAGTGAGAGTATGGGAATGTTTTTTTAGTGACATTTGTTGCAGACTTAGGACGAATATACGCCTCAGAGCACTCCAGATAAATCTCGGAGCAGACAGGTCAACAATTTATGACAGGAGCTGAGACCAACCATGTGACTGGAACGCCCACAAGTGTTCTCCGTTCCGCCCCAGTCCACACTGGACTTCATCTGCGATGCACACGCCGCCCGCCTCACGCACATAGCTGTTGGAAACAAGAAGAACAAACATATATTCACTTGCATGGACTCACATGGCATCCTCTAGGCAGTAATGTCATGAATTACATCATTTGTTAATGGTGGCAACAGAGACCATATAATAGAGGGACGGCCCTCCCCAACAGTTTATCATAAACCATCAGCGCTACGGTCTGGCATGTAACTGATACACCCCGACACCCTGCTGTTAACCTCCCTGTACCGCTGCAGATGCGCAATAGATGCGCAGACATTCACGACTGACCATTCTGGTAACCACGTAAACAATATTACATAATATCCGGGGTAAGAGTTAATTCCCTTAGCCGAGATTTCTCTGACTACGACCAGCGACAATCCAATAAAAGGACGTCTCTTAGCGGATTGCAAAGATTTTTGTATGATATCTCTCATTAGCACATGTCAGTTGGCTGCAAATTATTTGCTGAACATGTGTGTCTTCCGGGACATTTATTTCAATTTACATATCTCATTTTATGCTGCAATTGTTAACTATTATAAATAAACAAATATACCAAATCTACTACGAACGCCACAGAAAACTACGATCCGGTAAATTGCACAGGAACTCAGGAAGTGTAAATAAAACTCATTCAGAAGCAGGGAAGACACTTGTAACATATCACCCTATTCCCGATGTTCACAAAATATATCTCCAGATTAACTTCATATCTTATATTAAGTCCAGACTAGATTTACTTGCAAAAATGCATGATCACCGACTGGTGTAAATGCTTTACTATTAGCCAGAAAAAAAATGACGCCATATTAATGTTTTTATTTCATGTAAATTCGCTACTATTGTATAATGCTAATAGTTCCAATGAATTAAAAATACACATTAAACTACGAGCGTTGTTAAATGAATTTTCGATGTGTCTGACAATGGGCTTCGAAAGAATCAAATGTTATTGGTTAATGCCAGTTTGGGGCTAGCAGTGATAATAGGGTTTGCCGGAGCGAGATAAGTTTGACACCTTCGACCTTGTTGTCTGGAACTTCTCTCCCGACGACTGCCGATATAATCCTTCTTTTTTCTTGGCATTTACAAAGCAAATGATAATTTTATAATACAAATATTTCATGTAACGGATTTTTATTTTTGTATGATGTTTTCATTGTTGTGTAAATACACAAAGTAAGTAGTACCTTCATCATATTTACATTATTATGATTGGGTTTAGGCCAAGATCATTTTGCTCATATCAATATTTACACGGCATAAAATAAATAATTGATTAAATGTAGTCATGATTAATACAGACAAAATCTTCAGAAGATAACAAATATGTAGTATTGTAGTATGTAGTATATGCGCGATATGTGATAGAAGCCTAACTGAAACAAAGTTAAACTTACGAAAAAATGGCGAAAGCAAAGGTAAAAAAAATACGCGTCTTACAAAAACAAGTCTAATATCATACAATATAAGTCACTTTGTATAATGTTTCAAGAGATATATGCGGATGATAATCACAGACAAAATGCATGTTATTTCGTCTGCTATATGGTAATTTAATTTAAAATATGTGACGTAAAATATGGCCTTGCGCCAAAAATCATACAAAAAAAACTACCGATCGTACCTAAATAACTTTGGTACCAAGCCAAAGGGGAAATCGTGATGAATGTAAAACTATTTAATTCAGGACCGATGATAGGAACACATTCGTCTGAAACCATGCGGCAATTAAGAGTTGTGGTGTAATTATTTCGGGAAAAGTCAGATTTAGTCCCATTTCTGGAGTCAAAATCTGAAATATCGCATCCGCCCTAAATTTGTAAATGGCACTAAGCCAATTTTTAACATATATCCTTTTTATACACCTTGGTAACCAAGGACTTTCATTGCGAATTAGAGGCCGTTATTGAAAATCAAAATCTGCACTTTTGCCGATTTTACATGTGCGCCATTTTGTTCTCTCGGACAAAGACAAAGCGTGATCACAGTCATCAAATACAGTGACAACGACATGCTTTAGGGCACCAACAAATCTCAGTTGTAATGTTAACAATGTTAAGAAATACATGAGTGTAATTTTGTTTTGTAAAATATATCTTTTGCATGGGAAAAAAAGGCGACAGCGATGACTGCAGTTAACGCGTTTCTGCTCGCTTCCGGACAGGCTGCGCAGTACAAGCCGTAGCACTGATGGTTTCGCGCATAGGCTAGAGGGCCGTCCCTCTATTATATGGTCTCTGGTGGCAACAAATAAACTCTAGTGTCTAGGAATACTATCAACCAGACAAAGGGCTATGTGACCTTGACATTGACTAAGTGGTTTGCTGCAACCTATGTGCCAAATCACATGGAGGGACACAGATCCATATACAGGCAACTCATCAAGCCTTAATGTACAGTACATGTGTAGGGCATAGATGTCAAGCCTTAATGTACTGTATTTATTTAGGGCAAAAATGTCAAGCCTTAACACTGTATATATATAGGGCTTACCCGGTAGATGTCAAGCCTTCATATACTGTATTTATGTAGGTCAAATATGTCAAGCCTGAACATACTGTATATATGTAGGGCAAATATGTCAAGCCTTAATATACTGTATTTATGTAGGGCAAATATGTCAAGCCTTAATATACTGTATTTATGTAGGGCAAATATGTCAAGCCTTAACATACTGTATATATGTAGGGCAAATATGTCAAGCCTTAATATACTGTATTTATGTAGGGCAAATGTGTCAAGCCTTAATATACTGTATATATGTAGGGCTTAGATGTCAAGCCTTAATATACTGTATGTATGTCGGGCACAGAAGCCATGAAAGTCCCTATTCAGTGCATACAATCAAGATCTTAACTCATTAATATGAAACAAAATACAATAGTGAAAAGCAAACAATTCAACCAACTAAAGGGCTTCATTAAACATTATATATAACAGCAGTGAAAAATGATAAAGAAAGTCTCAAAAAGCTTTTTAACGATATCAAAACCTTTTTCAGAAAATATTGTCCAACTTGATGGAAAAGGAAATTAAAACATAAAACATAGCTAAAACTGTAAAATCTATGAACAATAAAAAAGGGTCAGCCATTGCTGGATTTCCAGGGGAATTTCTTAATTTTTCTGGTTTGGTTTCTTTGTTGTTTAACGCCGCACTCTGCAATATTCCAGCTATATGATGGCAGATCAGTAAATAATCAAGTCTGGACCAGACAATCCAGTGATTAACATCATGAGCATTGATCTACGCAATTGGAATACTATGACATGCATCAACCAAGTCAGCAACACTGACCACCCGATCTCGTTAGTCGCCTCTTACGCTTAATTTTTATTTTTTTTAAACAGTTTAAAAAATGGGTGTATAGACCCTAACGAGGCTATTACAAAACATAAAAGAATAGAGGAGTAATTACTTATAGTAAAAAAACATATAATTTGTTTGTTTGTTGCTTAACGCCGCACTCAGCAATATTCCAGCTATAATATGCGGTCTGTACATAATCGAGTCTGGACCAGACAATCCAGTGATTAACATCATGAGGATCGATCCACACAATTGGGATTCGATGACATGGATCAACCAAGTCAGCGAGCCTGACCTACCGATCCCGTTTGTCGCCTCTTATGACAAGCATAGTCGCCTTTTATGGCCAACATGGGTTGCTTAAGACCTATTCTACCCCGGATCTTCACAGGTTCAAAAATCACATAAGAATAGAAGATAAAAAGTACTTGTATAATTAATAGACAGAAAAGGACCCTAAATATGTTAATACTTGGAAACCAAAAAGGCTTGTTAATATTCCAATGCATTTACAATGTTGCTCTATAGTCACCGAGAGGGAATCTGTATGAAGCCATCCTCACACTGTTTATTATCCATGGGGTTAAAAAATAAGCGAGTTTAGAAAAATTGTATGTGCACTAGTACAAATATAACTTCACGCACACCAGTGTATTGTTTACGTCATCTGGACGGCATTCGAATCTTAGGTCGGAATGATGTCTCAATAGAAACGTCATAGCTGATGATCATTGGCATCATTTGACAATTGTAGTTTCAACAAAAGAGGTTGGTTGTGATCGGTGCAATTTCTACAGGAGACCCAAAAGGAATAAGAAACAATGGGTAATAAAGATATTATTATACTCGCATGTATGTCATACTGATTACAACAAACTCGTGTAAGAATTCATGTATTACCCTTTCTCTCATTTGGGAACTTCAAGAATTCTGACGCTCGTTTTGTTAATTAAGTATGATACACATACTCATTTAATAATCTCCATTTACCCCCCACTGAGACAGACCCTGGCGCTTCACTGGACACAACAGATGGGAGTGAGTATGGTTTTATGACGAGCGAACGCTTTAGGATACCCGACCGCCCCGCCCCTGCCCCCCCTGCCCCCCCTACACCAGATGGACCTTACATCTCACTAAATGATCACATGTATGTGTCACTTCCAATCAGTTATCTGTCCCTGCATGTGACAGCAGTGGTACCATCCCTGGGGCTTCGACATCTGGACTTACTTGGGAGTGACAGTAAGTAGAGAGGAATTCCGTTCCTGGAGCACACCTAACAATAATCACAGCAATCCGATTATGGGCGAGTTGTCTAATTCAGCACAAGTGTCTTTCACCGAGTCTCGGTTAATCAATAACTGTGAACATAATGATATTGGACAAATAAATGAAGGCCAAATATCAAGCAAAAGAGTGAAAACAATGTCTTTGAGGATGTCAACATATTCACAATTACGTTTTGTTGGCTAAATCCTAAGTTAGGAAGATGATGCATACAGATGTGAATACATGGCACTGTTTTGTGGATAATAACTTCTCATCCTATGTAACAACACTTCACGGCTACTTCTTGCCTCTTCATCAGCTGAATGCTGAGTAAGTGATCAGAGCTAATATACACATACACATCGTCAAGAGAAACGCGAATACCATACATGTTGGTTAATAAGACTTACTCATATTGAAGAGACATTAGATTGGTTCGATGCACAAACGAACGTACTGTTATGTTGCGTGAGCTAACACGCATGAACCCATCACATGTGACTTCATAGTTCCATGACTCGAGATGCACCATTTGTCTCATGCAGGATTAGTGTATATTGACAGTGGTGGGTGACCTCGCCTAGTTGAACACTACCAAGCGAATGCTTTAACCACTAGCCTACCTGACCGCCCCCATAAATTACAGAATAAATGGGAGGGAGGGCGGATGCTCAGTTTCAGTGTCAGTCCAAGGAGAAAGCAATGACAGAACAGTCCAGACAATATATATGTGACCCCCGAGGTCAAACTCAATCTAACACACTTCTACTAGCCTCCTCTTAGTCTGTCATACTGACCCTGAAACAAATACAGTAAACTACGGTTACAACAAAGACGCTTATAACAAACTGACAGATATAATAAACTTACTTTTTTGGTCCTGACTATTTGCTGTAGTTATGCTGTATGTATGCTTATAACGAACTACGGTTATAACGAACTAAAATTAGTAGTCCCTTTGAGTTTGTTATAACCAAAGTTTACTGAATATTCAAATACAGTCCATGCAAGTCTATGATGTTTGGCAAGTCTAGATTACTGCAGTATCAGGAATCTGAAAATTGAGAGTCTTGGGGATCGTTTATATTATATTTGTATTAAGATAATTTAACAACTGTTTTTTTCTGTAAGATATGTCCATTTCCGAGACTAGATGTTAGTCTAGCCTCCTCAACATTTCCACCGAAGTGTTGCCACACAGACACTAACACCTTCATCAACTTGTGTACAGATAGAAGTCCTATACAACTGCTTGTCTCATGGCAATAGTTAACACTGTCCACTAGTCCCCTCCTCCATGTTTCTTCCCCATGGCAAGATCATGTAACATGTTGTATGTCACGAGAGCTGTGGAGAGGAAACTTTGTACAGGCTACAGGAATCCTGCTGTGTCTGGGCCTCAGCTGTTACAGCCACTACATTCAGTATATGCCTGCTGGGCATCCTCACCAGCATCAGTAGAGATGAACATCACAGTGCACAGAAGCCAAATATTAACATTTTACATTTATGTATTTGGATGGACCAAATTATTTTTTTTGATTTACAGAAAAAATCTACTAAATATTTAAATAGTAAAAGAAATGATAAAGAAGAAATTGCTGCTTGTGTTACTGTTCAATGATTTATCTAAATAGTATTGGGGTGAGTGAGTGAGTGAGTGAGTGAGTGAGTGAGTGAGTGAGTGAGTGAGTGAGTGAGTGAGTATGGTTTTACGCTGCTTTTAGCAATATTCCAGCAATATCATGCTGACGGACACCAGAAATGAGCTTCAAACATTGTACCCATGTCAGGAATCAAACCCGGGTCTTCGGCATGACGTGCGAACGCTTTAACCACTAGGCTACCCGACCGCCCCATTTTAGTAAATGAAACTCAAATCAATTCTAACAGTAATTTTTATATATGTTTCCTATTTCCTCCAGCCTCTTTTCATCCATCATCTGCAGAAAATCCGCACAAAAAACAAAACTGATCTGGCCTAAAGCAAAAATGTAAATGCTAATATTTGAATTCATGCACTCATCTCTACTGATGCAGACAAGGACATCCTGACAGTCAATTACTGTATTTTGTATGACAGCTGTGTCTCCAGGCAACACAGCAGGGGATACAGGAGACCTAAATGACCCCACCACAGCATATGTGACAAGTACACCCGATTCTTTCATATTGCTATAGTTAATCTGTCAGCCATGATTAACTATAGGAACATGAAAGAATCAGGTGCTCTTTAACTTCTTTTGAGCAGCATACATTCCTAATCAGTGTCCAGCTGGCTAATCATGCATGGGTTTGATGCCTCTCTGGAAAATATTTCAATTTTATCACATTGTGTCAGCGTAGTATTGGAGAATAACACAAAGGTCATCAATGTTTAATGTGAAACCAACGAGCACAGGTACGGTGCTGACAAACCAAGGATCTTAAGCCGAGTTACTCCGGGATTCAAACCGATGACAAGCAAATCAATGCATGGCTAAAGGGAGGCAACTCCTCACAGGGCAATTTGGCAGCTCAGACAACTGAACACCCCTTGCAGGGGCACATGTGTCAAGTAGCGGCAGCATACTTGCTTCAACTGATGATTTGCATGTCCTTGACGACAGTCTACACTGTATGGCATTGCTTGCTCATCACTGTACCAGACTAGCCCCCTGAACAATGCTAAAGTGAATACATTACCAGATGTTAAAGTGAGTGAGTTTAAGACTGCTTGGAACAGTATTGTAGTTACATCATGGCATGTCAACTTGATGGGGGAGGAGGTCGTGGGAGGTGGGAAATGGGTCCAAGATTATTGCACTTATATAGCGATGTGTGTGTGTGCGTGTGTGAGCTCACTGAGATACCAGGCCGCAGTTCAACATGAATACCCCACTCAGGCACAGCATACTTACTCCAAGCCGACCAGTCCTTGTTTCAGTCCCTTAATGCTGAGCGCCAGACAGGGTAACAACAAGTACCACCTTTTAACATCTTTTGGTATGACGCGGCCGGGATTCAAACGCACAATACAGGTCTGAGACGTTTGCTGCTATGTTGAATGTTGAAACTTGAAACCCACGAGTACGGGTATGGTGCTAACAAGTCTAGAAACATAATCACAGAAAAGCAGGATACGAACCAAGAGTCATAAGTTTCTGGCAAATCTACGAGATGCGACACTGCCCCACAAAATGCTGTGTCTTAGACAAGGGGTCATTCAATCCCCCAAATTCCTAAAGAGGTTGCAATTAAATAACATCATGAAGAAATAAATTACAAAGACTTGGAAGAATGTACTTTGATGTTTACAAAAGTAAAGAAATATAGAATGGTGAAATCGGTATCTGAAATGACATACAGGCATAAATCCCCCTGCTATTTACAAGGTGGCCCCTCGTCTAAGGCACCCCATTTTGCTGTGCAGAGTTGCGTCCCTTAGGCACGCCAGAAACCTATGATCGGGGGTTAGAATCCTAGTTCGCCCAAATCATGTTTCTAGGTTTCTCAGCACCATGCCCGTGCTTGTGGGTTTCACCAAAGTGGTAAACAGTAAGCGTCTGGACCAGCATCCCTTCGGGCTCTCCTCCCACATTACGCTGACACAATGGAATTAACTGGAACACCGTTCAAAGCAGAGTAAAACCCAACTCACTCACTCTATACATTGTTCATTACCTGTAGGCAAGTTTGAGGTAGTTCTTAGGGAACACAACGATGCCACCGGCTCCCATCAGGGGCTCACAGATGAAGGCCCCAACCTGGAACACAAGGATACACATCAGTCACAGTGAGTGAGGGAGTGTGTGAATGTTGTTTTATGCCATGACCACCAAGCAAACCAGAACATCTTAGCAGGAGTACGATCCATCCTGTCTAGGAAGATCACACAGTCACTCAACTGGATACAGACAATAATCAAGAGAGCCCATAATTCACACAAAAATCGAAGACAATCAACACGAATTGAAAAAGACACTGACAATGCTGAAATTACGGATCTACAGACCAAGGCATTAATATCATGCCCATCTCTTCATAACTCCTGGCGAGTGACAGGAACTGTAAATGCTGCGCCCAATGAATGATTTCAATATTGACTGTGACGCTCACAGAGCTATGGGCTGTCGTATAGTGTTTTCCTAATAGATTCCCTAATAGATGTGTACTTATATTTTCGACCATGAACTTTCTCCTGCTGAGCAGAATGGTGGAAAAAAAAAATCTTTACTGGTGCGGTTTCCAACTCGATAAGTAAATATATTGCTGCACTATATACAATATCAGTACATGTACTCTTATTTGAAGGCTAATGTCTTAGGAAGTGAATCATTTGTCGTTAGATCCCGACACATGCCCTTTGTGAAGCAGAAAAAGTGCGAAGCATGTTTGGATCAGGGAAAACACTATGTGTACAGTCCGTAGTTCGGTGTAGCAGCAAGTCAATATCAAAATCGTTCATAGGAAACAGCACCTCCTGGCCTACAATGGCAAGGGTCATTTTAACTGCTGGCCTGTTGGCCCGTGGCCAGTTAAAATGACAAAGGATTTGCTGAAACGTAAAGTAGATGGCCCGTCTGGCTAGTGAATATTTCACCCTTAATTTTTTCTATTGGATAATCTCTGTAGAATGTAGACAACCGGCCACCAGTTTGTAATGTTGTGCACAACAGCTTTTTTAATTTGCTCATAAAATCGCTGCAAATGGAAGGCAGATTTAATCTCAGAGTGCAGGAAAAGACCTTTTTGGGGGGAGCAGTTCTAAAACTTTCAGAGACCTGCTAGGTAGCTATGTGACCTCAAATTCGGCCACCTCAACACCTCCACATTTAGTTGTAGACCAGTTAGTTTGGAGAAGGGCCAGTAAATTCTAAAAGGGGAAAGACCTGCTGGCCAAATACAAATCTGTTGTTAAATCTCACCCTGAATGGACACATACTACCATCTGAATACCTCATGTTTTCAAAAGCAAAGGCAAGCTTTATACAGTCATAATTGTAAACCCCAATTCATCCAGAAAAGACTCAGAAAAGACATTTCCAAATTGTTCATGCTTAAAATTGGACAAGAACTTTATGAGAGAAAAAAGAAACAATTGTTGGCACCAGAATAGATTTACACCGCTTTTAGCAATATTCCAGCAATATCACAGCAGGGGACACCAGAAATGGGCTTCAACCATTCTACCCATGTTGGGAATCGAACCCCAGTCTTCGGCTTTGCGAGCGAACAATATAGCCACTAGGCTAACCTCTCCCCTCCAGTGCTATCAGGGCCAATGATGACACGCAATAATTGGCCATCCCTCTCGTGTTGGTCAACTCCAATGACAAGTACATGTAACTGAGAAATAGGATCTAACAATATGTACTTGCAAAAATTACTTAGCTTTTCACAATCCCTAGTTTTGAGTCCATATGATAAACACTTTGAAGTCCCCATCAATCTCATCAGGAGATTTGGAAAAAAACGACTGTGTGAAGGTTTATGGCCATTTTCCATTTTCAAGACAAACATCCTCGTCATAGTGAGGAATGTGGTAAAACTACATTGCTGTCTTGTAGATTTTGTGACAGATCTCATAATAAACTGAAGGAGGAAATGAGTTTAATTTTATATATATTATCATTATTCCAGCCATTTGTCAGTGGGGGAAACCAACAATGGATGAGTGAGTGAGATGGGTTTTAAGGCAGCTTTGAGTACTCCAGTTATATCACGGCATGTCAGCTAAATGAGGGCGGAAAGCTTGAAGTGATTTCAGTCTCAATTAGTGAGTGAGTGAGTGAGTTTAATTTTACGCCACTTTAAGCAATATTCCAGCAATATCACGGCGGGGGACACCAAAGGCAGCTTTGAGTACTCCAGTTATATCACGGCATGTCAGCTAAATGAGGGCGGAAAGCTTGAAGTGATTTCAGTCTCAATGAGTGAGTGAGTGAGTGAGTGAGTTTAATTTTACGCCACTTTAAGCAATATTCCAGCAATATCACGGCGGGGGACACCAGAAATGGGCTTCACACATTGTACCCATGTCGGGAATCGAACCCGGGTCTTCGGCGTGACGAGCGAACGCTTTAACCACTAGGCTACCCGACCGCCCCTTCAGTCTCAGACATTTACTACTAGCATGGGTATTGTGCTGACAAACCTCAAATCATAACAAGGATTTGAACCCACAACCATAGGTTCCTGGCATGCCAAAGGGACACAACTGTGAACAGCAAACTGCAGTGCCTTAGACTGGACCACTCATGCCATGAAACCCCTGAATTATGTATAGTTTCTCTTGTATAGACTTGGTACATCACCTATGTACCTCTGGGTACATCACCTATGTACCTCTGGGTACATCACCTTTGTACCTCTGGGTACATCACCTATGTACCTCTGGGTACATCACCTATGTACCTCTGGGTACATCACCTATGTACCTCTGGGTACATCACCTTTGTACCTCTGGGTACATCACCTATGTACCTCTGGGTACATCACCTTTGTACCTCTGGGTACATCACCTATGTACCTCTGGGTACATCACCTATGTACCTCTGGGTACATCACCTTTGTACCTCTGGGTACATCACCTATGTACCTCTGGGGAAATGGACCACTTTAAACCAACAATGGACTTATTTCACACTGTACCGATGTGGGGTAGGAAACATGGCCCTCTGTCCCAGGTATAGCTAATGGCACTGACAATGAACCCACTACACTTACAGTAGAACCTTGTTTATCAGGACATGGCCTGTAAATATTATCTAATACCATTAACACACTACAATAACAGTGAAACCTTGTTTATCAGGACATGGCCTGTAAATATTATCTAATATCATTAACACACAGCAGTAACAGTAAAACCTTGTTTATCAGGACATGGTCAGTAAATATTTACTATTATAATTTAACACACTACACTGATTGTAGAACCTTGTTTATCAGGACATGACCTGTAAATATTAACTAATATCATTTAACACACTACACTTACAGTAGTACCCTGTTTATCAGGACAAGACCAGTAAATATTATCTAATATCATTTAACACACTACACTAACAGAAGAACCTTGTTTATCAGGACATGGCCTGTAAATAGTAACTAATATTATTCAACACACTACACAAACAGTAGAACCTTGTTTATCAGGACATGGCCTGTAAATGTTAACTAATATCATTTAACACACCACACTAACAGAAGAACCTTGTTTATCAGGACATGGCCTGTAAACATTAACTAATATCATTTAACACACCACACTAACAGAAGAACCTTGTTTATCAGGACATTGCCAGTAAATATTAACTAATGTAAACACACTACACTAACAGTAGAACCTTGTTTATCAGGACACAGTCAGTAAACATTAACTAATATAAACACACGACACTCGCACTAGAACCTTGTTTATCAGGACAAGATCAGTAAACATTAACTAATATAAACACACTATGCAAACAGTAGAACCTTGTTTATCAGGACATTGCCAGTAAATACTAATATAAACAAACTACACTAACAGTAGAACCTTGTTTATCAGGACATGGCCAGTAAATACTAATATAAACACACTACACTAACAGTAGAACCTTGTTTATCAGGACAAGATCAGTAAACATTAACTAATATAAACACACTACACTAACAGTAGAACCTTGTTTATCAGGACAAGATCAGTAAACATTAACTAATATAAACACACTACACTAACAGTAGAACCTTGTTTATCAGGACATGGCCAGTAAACACTAATATAAACACACGACACTAACAGTAGAACCTTGTTTATCAGGACATGGCCAGTAAACATCAACTAATATAAACACACTACACTAACAGTAGAACCTTGTTTATCAGGACATGGCCAGTAAACACTAATATAAACACACGACAGTCACACTAGAACCTTGTTTATCTGGACACGACCAATAAACATTAACTAATATAAACACACTACACTAATAGTAGAACCTTGTTTATCAGGACACGGCCAGTAAACACCAACTAATATAAACACACTACATTAACAAAATTATTTAGTAAACTGTAATGATAAACAAAGGTTATAATCATCTTCAAGTTTGTTAAGTATAAGAATATTAGAGAACTGCACAATTCCCACATTTAGATATCACGAGTGTATTGTGGAGCAATGTTATATAGGCAGGAATTGTTGCAGGCCTACACTTTACACATAGTTACCAGAGTAAGGTACACGGTACAGATAAGGTACTGATGTTGTGAGCATGCTGACCCCTTAAAAACCTGGTGAAATTCTAAAGCATCTACTATGAATCCTTTGTTTGTTGCAGTGTCCACTGGTGTGTCATGTAATTGAATTAAGAAAATAAAACATAATTATAAAATCTTTAATGAACAAAGACTCTATAACAACCTTAGACTGGTATTGTACAAAGTTTCATGGAGAAGTACATAACAGACCTGAGGCAAAATTGTTAACAATGCTTTCATTTGTCCAAAATAATAACATTCACATAAAAACAAAATAATCGGGGGAAATATAAACAGCAAAAGGCACATCTACACTATATGGAGAATGTTTTTACAAAGTTTCTTACAGATATCACTAAAATAATGTTCTAGTTCTGCTCCAGAAATGAAACCAACTGCTTTCATTCAGTTCAGGGACTAAGTCCAAATTTATAAACTTTACATAAAAGAAAACAAAAATGTGGATGAATCATAAATAGCAAAAGGCACATCAACACTATATGGGGAATGTGTGTACCAAGTTTCATAGAGACTTCTAATAATTTTCAAGTTCTGCTCCAGAAATAAAACCAACGGCTTTCATTCATATATTTCTAAATAAGACCGCTTTATTTGTGGTACAGATGTTAGTCTAATCTGGCACCACCAAGCATCACTTACCTTCCTGCCCTTGGCCTTCACCTTCTGCAGCAGCTGGAAGACCTCGTCGGCGTAGGCCACCTCGGGGTTCGGGGTGCTGTCTCGGTACTTCCCCCGGTACGTGTCCGGGCATGGGGCCTGAAACAGTCACACAGCCAGTCAGCAATTTTCCAGATATATCACAAGAACCTGTAATTCATCTAAGTCTGGGTCAGATAAACCAGTGGTTGACATATGTGCAATGTCCCTCTACATCGGGGTGCAACGACACGACATCAACCAAGTCTCCAAGTCTGATAACCTTGGAGGTAAGCTTGCACTATGTCACATGACTTCCATTGACTCGGAAAAAGTGTGCAGCTTTTTTCTTTGAAGCAGAGTATAAGGGATTGATTTATTCAGCCTCTCAGAAATCCACATGCAGTCTGACTTGTCCGTGGCGGGGTATAAGAGGTATTTCCCCCTCAGAGAAATTTATTCCCCTTCGAGGCAGATACACAGTATTTTATCAAGATCACGTGGACCAATCAGATCTCATCATTCTGACATGGAGGTATTATAAAGTTTGATATGTTTTTCTGTTGTTTATATTTTAATATGTGCCTCTATTGTGTTGATACTTCATATGCAAACTGTCATATTGATATATTTTGTCAATATGAAAGTGATGTTGTTTGTAACAAATGGCCTTACGACATTTTGACAGCCCATTTTTCAACATCATTACCAAATGGGGAAAAAAATCTTTACGACATTTTGGATGATGCTAATGTCCATTTTGAAACCCTGCAGATGCAAACACCTCAAAGTCATCACTCAAAATATTATCAAGATTAGATTTCAAAGAATCCAACATTAAGCTGGAGCAGTCAACTCTCTTCAAACAATGAGCACTACATCAACAACCCTTTAATCAAGCTGATGTGCATCGCATCGCTCTGCCATCAAAGCTGCACACTGCACCCATGACGGGGCTCCAGGGCACATGGAGGAGAGTCTGTGTAATGGTTTTAATGAAAGTCCATTGCTCATCTCCTCACTGTACAGACCCAGGTTTAACAGAAATCTGGTTTAATTCCCGCTGGGCAGTGAGTGAGTGAGTGAGTGAGTGAGTGAGTGAGTGAGTGAGTGAGTGAGTGAGTGAGTGAGTGAGTGAGTGAGTGAGTGAGTGAGTGAGTGAGTGAGTGAGTGAGTGAGTGAGTGAGTGAGTGAGTGAGTGAGTGAGTGAGTGAGTGAGTGAGTGAGTGAGTGAGTGAGTGAGTGAGTGAGTGAGTGAGTGAGTGAGTGAGTGAGTGAGTGAGTGAGTGAGTGAGTGAGTGAGTGAGTGAGTGAGTGAGTGAGTGAGTGAGTGAGTGAGTGAGTGAGTGAGTGAGTGAGTGAGTGAGTGAGTGAGTGAGTGAGTGAGTGAGTGAGTGAGTGAGTGAGTGAGTGAGTGAGTGAGTGAGTGAGTGAGTGAGTGAGTGAGTGAGTGAGTGAGTGAGTGAGTGAGTGAGTGAGTGAGTGAGTGAGTGAGTGAGTGAGTGAGTGAGTGAGTGAGTGAGTGAGTGAGTGAGTGAGTGAGTGAGTGAGTATGGTTTTTCGCCGCTTTTAGCAATATTACAGCAATATCGCGGCGGGGGACACCAGAAATGGGCTTCACACATTGTATCCATGTCGGTAATGGAACCCGGGTCTTCGGCGTGACGAGTGAACGCTTTAACCACTAGGCTACCCGACCTCCCCCCGCTGGGCAGTACAAGGGTGGATCATCTTATTTATAAAGACATACCAACGTCCAGGTTTTGATTCCCCACATGGCTACAAGGTGTGAAGCTTATCGCTGGTGTCAACCACAATGATATTGGAATACAACTAAACTTGAAGTGAAAATAGACACACATACTCACTATGACTAATATCACAGGACACAATAACAAAACAGAGTGAGTGAATACACTGAATATTATGTTTCATTCTCAGATATCCTGCTGTCAAACTGGCCTTATTTTCACTCCAATTTTGCTGTCATCCTCCTATTAGGGGCGGTCACGTAGCCTACTGGTTAAAGCGTTCGCTCTTCACGACGAAGGCCCAGGTTCGATTCCCGACATGGGTACAATGCGTGAAGCCCATTTCTGGTGTCCCCTGTTGTGATATTGCTGGAATATTGCTAAAAGCGGCGTAAAACCATATTCACTCACTCACTCATCCTCCTATTAAAATCTGCCATTAAAAGAACAACCTTAGAACTAAGAGTCAAGCTGTTTTCCAATTAAAGGCACAAAAACCTTCCACAAAAGAAGGTAAAGAAATTGTTCAAATCACTTAATTAACAACCTGGGGATTTAAAAAAATTTTTTTTTATGTGACTCAATTTGTTAACATGACAGTGGAAGGGAAGTGGGGAGTCTAGTCTGATATACATGCATTGCACAATCATAACTTGAACACTTGAACCTTTCTTCATAGTGATAGCCCACTGAAATACCTTGCCAAAGTTCAACATGGATACTCCACTCCAGCCGACCAGTCCTTGTCTTATTACCTTGACCCCAAACACTAGGGAGGGTAACAACAAGCACCCTCTCTTAAGGTCTTTTGGTATGTCTGCATCTTGGTATATCTGCATCTCAATCAATGAATTACCTGTGCTCCCTGCCATCACCTTGACAACACAGGTAAACACAGCAACAGCACACTCAAGTAAGTAGTCAATAACATGTCTTCACCAACTATGAAATCTTTGTTCACAAAGAAAGGAAAGGCATACCCATTCAGCTTTATGTCCACAAGAAGAGAGGAGAGGAGAAATACATCTCAGTATATCTCTGGTTAATTCGGGATCAATAATTACATCAACATATCGATGTTATTTTAAACAAAGCAGTAAGCTGCTTTCATTCCAATTTAACATAGATATTCATAAAACGTTTCTCTTAAAACGTGTGTCATGTATTTATTGAGTTGAGTGTAACTATGCTTTGAACAATATTCCAGTCATATCACGGCGTGTCAGCTTGACGTGGCCAACATGGGCCAAAGGGGCATCATGACATGACATTAACACTAAGTTTTCACATAATGATTAGATCCACAGCAAGTGCTTTTATAGGTTATCATGGTGTAACATTTATACAAATTTTCATATAATTATAGAACAGCAAGTAATATATATTAGGATCCAGGGAAAATGCAGATACAAAATATTAGTAGTTTCAGTTATAGCTTTATCATAGATACTAGCCTAAAGTAACAAGAACCCATCTCCTAGACATACTATTCAATAAGACAAAAAATATGTCTACATAGTTTTATAGATTGCCTTGAACTATTTCATTTAGTAAATCTGTCATCACCTATATTAGAATAACATTCAGCAATTACTTCAATTTAGACTCATTAAGGATTAGCCCCCATACAAGCTTGTCTATTGTGGTATCATAATCTCATTCCAAGCACCCAGTAAACATGTCAACAAGATTAGTGCCAGTCCAACAGGATTAAGTATTCCCCTCTGTCTAGTGCACACCCCATTGTTTATCAACTACCAATTATCATTCTTTTTATTGTTCTAAGTTTTGTTAAATACATACAGAAACAAGATGTTAATAATTCAAAACTAAACACAGCACCAAATTACACCTTCATACCCAAAATCCAAACCCCCCAAATGGACATATCTCTACAATAACAAAACAGAGTGAGTGAATACACTGAATATTATGTTTCATTCTCAGATATCCTGCTGTCAAACTGGCCTTATTTTCACTCCAATTTTGCTGTCATCCTCCTATTAGGGGCGGTCACGTAGCCTACTGGTTAAAGCGTTCGCTCTTCACGACGAAGGCCCAGGTTCGATTCCCGACATGGGTACAATGCGTGAAGCCCATTTCTGGTGTCCCCTGTTGTGATATTGCTGGAATATTGCTAAAAGCGGCGTAAAACCATATTCACTCACTCACTCATCCTCCTATTAAAATCTGCCATTAAAAGAACAACCTTAGAACTAAGAGTCAAGCTGTTTTCCAATTAAAGGCACAAAAACCTTCCACAAAAGAAGGTAAAGAAATTGTTCAAATCACTTAATTAACAACCTGGGGATTTAAAAAAAATTTTTTTTATGTGACTCAATTTGTTAACATGACAGTGGAAGGGAAGTGGGGAGTCTAGTCTGATATACATGCATTGCACAATCATAACTTGAACACTTGAACCTTTCTTCATAGTGATAGCCCACTGAAATACCTTGCCAAAGTTCAACATGGATACTCCACTCCAGCCGACCAGTCCTTGTCTTATTACCTTGACCCCAAACACTAGGGAGGGTAACAACAAGCACCCTCTCTTAAGGTCTTTTGGTATGTCTGCATCTTGGTATATCTGCATCTCAATCAATGAATTACCTGTGCTCCCTGCCATCACCTTGACAACACAGGTAAACACAGCAACAGCACACTCAAGTAAGTAGTCAATAACATGTCTTCACCAACTATGAAATCTTTGTTCACAAAGAAAGGAAAGGCATACCCATTCAGCTTTATGTCCACAAGAAGAGAGGAGAGGAGAAATACATCTCAGTATATCTCTGGTTAATTCGGGATCAATAATTACATCAACATATCGATGTTATTTTAAACAAAGCAGTAAGCTGCTTTCATTCCAATTTAACATAGATATTCATAAAACGTTTCTCTTAAAACGTGTGTCATGTATTTATTGAGTTGAGTGTAACTATGCTTTGAACAATATTCCAGTCATATCACGGCGTGTCAGCTTGACGTGGCCAACATGGGCCAAAGGGGCATCATGACATGACATTAACACTAAGTTTTCACATAATGATTAGATCCACAGCAAGTGCTTTTATAGGTTATCATGGTGTAACATTTATACAAATTTTCATATAATTATAGAACAGCAAGTAATATATATTAGGATCCAGGGAAAATGCAGATACAAAATATTAGTAGTTTCAGTTATAGCTTTATCATAGATACTAGCCTAAAGTAACAAGAACCCATCTCCTAGACATACTATTCAATAAGACAAAAAATATGTCTACATAGTTTTATAGATTGCCTTGAACTATTTCATTTAGTAAATCTGTCATCACCTATATTAGAATAACATTCAGCAATTACTTCAATTTAGACTCATTA